GTTGTGATTTGCGAAAATTCCCCCTCCCCAACTTCAGGACGTACCCCCGTTCCCGGGAAATAAGTTGTGAAACCGGCAGCGGCTTCGTGACCACGTAACGACCCTCCTCTCTTATACACATATCTCTGCCTCTTACCTGTCTGAACCCTCGCAGCCGTCACTGCGCTCCTAGCCATGTACATATTCGGAAACACCCCTCTTGACTCCTAGATATGAACTGGGTTTGTAAACATCAAATAAACATGTGTTCCCTGGTCTCTGTCATGGGCGACTTGAGTGGGGGACTAGGGAAACACAAGACACCAACGGTAGGCTTTTAAGGAGCGCTGTAAACTGACCTTTTCCGCTAGCAACTCACTGTTGACTTCTGGTGGCAAAGTAGCTCGGGTTGTCGGAGCAGCGAGTCTTTTCCTTAGGAATATCGCGTTCCCTAAAAAAATGTGAGTGAGCCAATAAGGACAGTAGAGCGGTTTGCCTTGTGTGACCGATCAAACCACTTACTTTACCCTGAGCGATCGTACAGTTCCTGTAATGAACTGGAAAAGAGACATAAAGTCCTTTTGACGTTTAGCACTGTGAAGGAAAGCTTCGCGATTCCATATCTCCCAAATATCGAGCATTCGCATTGATTCGGACCCTGAAAATTCGTTCAAAATTCGACAACTCCTGCCAGATCACAGTGAAAATGCTGTGGAGAACGAAAGAGAACTGTAAATGTTTCCAAACCCTCCGCATAGACCAAAACTGGGTACCTGAGTATACGGGCATCTTCCCGTAGCTCCAAGAAGAGAATGAGCAACGGCTTTCCTCATAGGTTCGTCACCACTGAGACGGACCTGATAAGGTGACATCAACCATGACTCGGTCTGAATCGATCCATCGAACAACAACACGTTGGTCTTCAAGCAGAGAAGTCTGAAAAATCGGGCATTTGTCAGGAAATAGTATGAGGATAGTTAGTGTGGGTCAAGAGATGCGAAATGCGGCGGCGCGGCGGCAGTGGCCACTTGAAAGGCCTGTGCAGTACCGAAAACAGCGAAGGGAAATCATTGAGATACCGCGCGTGGTGGCCCTCCACATCGTCGCAACTTAGATCTCCTGGCCCACAACGACTGCCAGTTAGCGGAAGTTACCATTTCGTGGAAATCGAAGTTCTGAAGTGTTCGCGTTTGAATATCAATCACTTCGAACACTGAATTCGCATTGGTCACTGCCGAGATGTCGACGAGATCAGCAGGTTTTGGCTGAGCGCTCTAAAAGACTTTGGTAAGCACCGAGTTTTGCAAACTCACTTTGTTCCACTAACCTTCATTGAAC